GGCAGGTCACCCTCACTCCTAGGGGGCCCTGAGGCCTGGGTAGCCCGAGGGGGTTAGAGTCGCCCCCTGCCCCCCCCGGCTCGCTGCAAGCTCCTGGAGCAGCGCAGCCCTTGGCACCCCGGGTGCTCCCCCCGCTCCGCTGCCGCAGTCACGGGCGGGCGGCGTGGCACTGCGCACCGGGCTAGTGGCTGTCCCAGGACTGGGTGACACCGTGCTACTGGTAGTCATGTCACGTTAAATCACTTCGTTTTAATGATGTTTGTGGCTAATACTTGTAAAAGACAAAGTGTGTGTGTGTGTGTGTGTGTGTGTGTGTGGTTTAAAATCACATTTGTGACTCGAAAGATGTCGCACAACAGACACAACAGTTACAAGGAGCTGACGAACAACAGGAAACGGGGTTCTATTTTTAGGGTATAATGGGAAGTTAATATAAGCGGCCGGAGGCTTCCTATATGCCTCGAAGCACCTTCTGTTCCATTCATCCATTCATTCGTGCATTCAACAATAACAATAGGGGAAAACAAACATTCCCATTTCATTTCTCATCCCCTCCTTCGCATGATGTCCTGCTCTGGTATTTGTACGGATGGGCTTTGCAAACGGATTCCCTCTTTTGGGTCTCTTTGCTTGTTGGCAGGGGGAGGGGAGCAGGGATGATAGCTGATAGCATTCGTCAGCTGAAGCTCCCAAAGCCTGTTGGGGTATTGCCCACGGAAGGAGGGCGCAGGGGCTGAGTGCTGCTCCCTGCGCTTTGGGAGTATATCCCCCCTTTCCCTCATTTCACATCAGAGTCGGGGAGAGTGATTTCCGTCCTACGCCGACCAGGATGGATGGAAAAGTCGGAGAGGAACTTATTTCAGGAGTGACATTATTGTGTGTGTTTTTCTGCGGGAAGCCTGTGTACATGCATGAGGCAGGTCTTGCGACACGATTTTTAAACGGGGCAGCGAAAAGTTGAGGTGGAGGAGACAAAGATTACTATCTGATCTCCTGATAGCAACAGAAAGGACAGTTTATGAGAAACCGAGGTAATAGAAAGTCTTTCGGAAAAGAGTTGGGGGTCTCCTGTGAAGTGCTGGGGAAAAAATATCTAGAAATGTGGAAAGCTAAAGAATATTCCTCCTGGCGGCGACCCGCTGCGGATACATTTTTGCGGAGAGGCTCCCTCCGCAGAG